CTTAGTGTCTCATATACTGAATCGGTGAAATTATACTATTTTTCTAGGTACGCAATGGCTCTTTGATACACGTTGATGGCTTCTTTCTTGAACTTTTGCACGGCATTCTCAGGCAAATGTTTTTTATGTAAGGCAAATAAAACTTTCATTCCAAAAAACTACTCATCGTATTTTTTTTGCAAAGAATCACGCAACTTACACATGATAATGTGAAGTTCACATGCAAGAATTTTCTTGCTTTCCAGCTTCAGTAGGGTGTCTTGCATTATTGACATGAAGAAGTGCATGAAATATAAATACAATTCTGAAATTGTTGGTTCATCGTCCTTTGCGAGTTCATTTTCCTGATCCGAAATAAGGTTCCAGATAACCTTATGGCACTCATCAGATCCAAGAGAAATAAAATACAATTTTTGAGGTATCCAGTTTAAAAGAAGCCTTTCGACTGCTTTAAACAAACTTAACCAACGTGTTGGAACATGGCGCAAAACTTCATGGAATTCTGACTCAAAAAACTCAAAAAATGATTTCAACTCTTCTCGTTTCTTTGCAGAATTCGAAAATTCGGCAAAACCTTCAGCACTATATTTTCGATATCAAAAGATAACTGCTTTAATGTATTTTTTGCGCTGTTGTGTAAAATGTGATTATTGCAATGAGCAGCTACAATATTGTCATTTTCCAGCAATAATTTTTGGTAAACAGATTTGTTCACTCCATAATTGACCGATGCATTATCTGCTGAGTAAGCTGAAACATTATTTATTTCCAATTCGTTATCACTAAGAACTCGACACAGCTGATTTTTTATTGATGTAGAATCTTCGAAAGAATCCTCATAAAAGTCTAAAATTTTCACACACAGTCCTTCTTCACAAGTAAAATATTGTGCAACAACGGGATACATTTTGCGATTTCCCTTGTTTGATGCGTCAGTGGAGAGAGAAAATGGAATTCCAGTTTTAAGATCATTGAGAACCAACTCAATAGAAAAAGGATACAAAACCTCATTGACAATAGCTGATGATTTGGTTCTTCCATAAGACATCTTTTTTACAATTTCTGAATCATCAAAAATTTGCTTCATTAACTTAATACCGCAATCTTGAGCCAGGAAAGAAATATGGTGTTTGATCCCATGGTAAGTTTCAGCCATTTCAGCTACAGTCACTTTCTCACTGAAAGAGGAATCTTTAACAATGAAAAACGAATTGATTCGCTTGTTGCTGGAAGCTATTTTCTCCTTATCTAAATGATTTTTTGTGCTTGCATGCTGTGTGACAGCTTTTATACCATTATATTCAATTGTGAACGATTTCTGACATAATTTACAGTAGGCCATCGTATTTGTTCTGTCGGTTTCGTCGTTGGTAATCCATGCAAAAGTAGCTTCCCAGTCTTCGGTGTATTTGCACACTCCTCTCTTTCATTTTAAAGAATTTGAAATCTCGCCGCTGTCACTCTCATCACTCGACACCATTTTAGGTCAGTCGACACAAGCTACAATACATTTTAAAAATGTGAACTGTACATAATTTTATAATATATTTTTATTTTAATCTCATCATTAATTTTTTCAGAGAATCGAGTTCAATGGATATTCGATCTTTGTCTCATTCTAACTTATGAAAAAAAAGACAAAACGCGATTCTCCTATCCTTATTCTCTTAGACTGTACAGCTTTAGATTACGTACCATTTCATCATAAAGCTTTTGAATAAAAAAAATGTCCACTATTTTGTGAAAATAAATAGTGAACATAATGTGAAAAAAGCGGACTGTCCGCTCAAATAGTGGACACCTAGCAAGGGTAATCCTTCTACGTTTCTTTTAATTAAAAACGGTTAACCCATTCTATGAAATAGTTAATACTGAAGTTATTTGTAGTGAATATTTGCCTGCTAATCAGTGACTATGTTGTCACTTTAAACCTAAGCAGCTAAACTGATTCCAATATTAAGAATGTGAAAATTCAAGCCAGAGAGGGGAGAGGGATCATAGCTAAAAACATGCCAAATTTGAAGAATTTCACAAGGGTTTCTTTCTCTTGACCGCTTTTATTTAATCATTATCTTACTTTTAAAAAATAGATGGATGATAGGCGGGCAGACAGATAGAAAGCTGCTATTCTTAAGAGTAAAGCATTCAAAAATAGTGTTTATTTACTTTATTCACTGTTGCTGTTGACAGTTCTTAGACTTTTTCCCAGCCTCCATAACTAGTGTTGAAGCATGCTGTCAATTGTTCTTGTTGTTTAGTGTATTTATATTCCATTCATATTACATCTCTAGCCTAAAGTAGCTTGTGCAGGAGGAGTGTCTCCCCTGATTTTATTTTTATCCTGGGCGGGGAGAGAGTGACTGGCCAAAGGCATCCATTCAGTGAGTTCTGTGGTTGAATTGGATTTGAACCTGGGGCTTCCTGGTCCAAGCCTAAAACTTTCACCGCTACAACTTACTGATAGTCTACAATATCTGGAAGACTATAAAGGAAGGAAGGAAGGAAGGAAGGAAGGAAGGAAGGAAGGAAGGAAGGAAGGAAGGAAGGTTCAACAGTCTAAAAGGAGGTGTAATGAACTGGCAGTATGGTTTCTTCAGTCTGTACTGTAAATCAAAAACAGCTGAGCCTTCCTACTTTGAAGAAAGATTTTGGCTTCCTAGAATTAAAAAGCAAAATACAGAAAATGACTCAAAGGTGCTTTTTCAAGAGGCAACTGGACTTTCTTATTTTTCTTTGAAGACGTTTTGCTTCTCATCCAAGAAGTTTCTTCAGCTCAAAGAAAAAGCAGAAAGTCCTCTTTAAAAAGCACCTTTGAAACAACCATGAGCTAGATAACTGAGAATCTCCACAGTCATATAGAAAATGACTTTTTGCTGTTTTCATCTGCCACCTACTGGTTCCTGGTGGAATAAAAATTGAGCTGCATACCATATAAGCTATTATATAACATACTGGCTGGATACCCGTGCTTCACTACAAAACTATGTGATGGGGCTTGATAAACTGACACTTACAGCTTGAAACTTAATGAGTAGTTATGATTGGCCTCTCCTCTCCCCTTCTCTCCCTCAGCCTTGCCCCACAGAAACATCACCTATCCTATCTCCTTCTCTCCCTCAGGCTTGCCCCACAGAATCCTCCCCTATCCTATCCCCTTCTCTCCCTCTGGCCTTCTATCCCCTTCTCTCCCTCAGGGTTGCCCCACAGAAGCCTGTCCTATGCTATCCCATTAACTCCAGTTATTTTCAAGTTGGGAGGGGGAGTAGAATGTCTAACTAATTAGGATCAGAGCATGTTATAATAATATAGGAAATTCTAATGCTCTGATGGTCATTTCGAAAAAGGCTTTAGTGAGCACCTAGAAGCCAAGAGGAACATACGTGGTAAATTTCAAGTTTGTACATGGCTTTATGAGATTCATAGTATATTCTCACCTCAGACATTGATACAGATATAATCTCAGAATTTGCATGATGGTACCAATTTGGCAAGTGCCAAGGGACTTAGATTAGGGGAACTCAAGCTGAAAACTTTACTTAACCACGGAGATCACTGGGTGACTATAAGCACATCATTCTCTCTCAATCCATTTTATTTCAAAAGATTGTTACTATGGAAATATTGGATAAATCTTTATATGCCATCACCTTGAGCTCCCCAAATTCCTTAAGCCCACAGACAATCATCCTTGTTTCCTGATCTGCTCAACCAGACATGGTCTTAAAGACATTATAAACAATAATAAAGATCTGGGCAGGAAGTGAAGAAGCTGGAGAAGAAGCTTTTTCTTTTCTTATCTGTCTATATTTCCTTATCTGTCAAAGAACATATAGATCAGAAAGGAAGAGAAGAATCCTGTAAGGTAATAACTAGCTAGGTGGATGGTGCAGTGTGTTTCTTGAACCATGGGGTCCATTTCTATGTTGAAGGACTTCTGGCAAGAGATGGACAATGATTTACAAGGACTGAGAACAATGAGGTGCATTTTGGAAAAGCCAAATCCTTGGCAGGGGAGAGAAAGGAGCCCAGAAATAATGAATACCATGTATTGGGAAGGAACTGGGAATGCATACTCATCCATGTAGCCTATTATTGCAATGTGAAAGTACCTCACATACATTTTCTGAGGACATGTCCTCATAGTAAAGCCTCCATATCAGTGGTGGAATTCAATTTTCTTTACTAGCAGTTCTGTGGACATGGCTTGATGGGCATGGTATGGCTTGGTGGGTGTGGCAGGGGAAGGATAATGTACAATCTCCATTCCTTCCCCAGCTGGGACTTGAGAGGCAGAGAATAGATGGGGGTGGGGCCAGCCAGAGGTATCTGTCGGTTCTCTGAACTACTCAAAATTTCCGCTACCGGTTTTCCAGAACCTGTCAGAACCTGCTAAATAACACCCCTGCTCCATATCATAAGCAGCCCATTGCTGAAGCAATTTGAAACCAGTCCAGGCTGCTCTGCATGAAAACTGCTTCCCCGGGGAAGATGGAAGATCTCCTATCCAGAATATCTATGACACATGGAGGAGAAGGTTTGAGGTGGCTATGTGGTCTGGTACTGGACCATTTTCTCTTCTCTTCTCTTCTCTTCTCTTCTCTTCTCTTCTCTTCTCTTCTCTTCTTCTTTTGAAGATTAGATGACTGATGACCCTAGACAGCAATAAGCCCTAAATTGGTAAGCAATCCGTAGCTAAACAGATGTAATTGAAAGTGTAACTAAAAAGAGTGGGCTCTTTTGCTTCTGTGTGATAGGTTACTCATATCCTCCCCTTACAGAACGTTCTTGTAAAAAAAAAATCACTACATCTAGTACAGATTCACATATTTTTTTTTTCTCTCCTACCCTTTTGGATGATATGGGGCGTACAGCATGTATGCTGTGATTTGACACAAATATCAGTAATGTTTTTTCAAACTCCACTTCTTCTGTGCTGTTCTTCTGTTCAATATTTATCCAACAGCTCCGCCTTGAATAAACAAATCTAGATGACTTCTAGATACCTACCAAAAACGACAAAAAAGTCTTTATTTACATCTATTTATATATCACACTTCTTAACTGTCCATCTCCCTCACAGAGGGGCTCTAGGAGGTGTACAATTTAATAAATAACATTAAAAGCTAAATAATTTAAGATTAAAACATTTTGCTTCCACTTAGTAGCTAATAGGTCAATATGATATCATCATGAGAATAAAAGAATTAAAATGGAAATGGACTGGTCATATAGCAAGAACAGTGGTGGGTTTCAAAATTTTTTACTACCGGTTCTGTGGGTATGGCTTGGTGAGCGTGGCTTGGTGGGCATGGCAGGGGAAAGATACTATAAAATCTCCATTCCCTCCCCAATCCAGGGGAAGGTTACTGCAAAATCCCCATTTCCTCCCGATCAGCTGGGAGGCAGAGAATAGGTGGGGGCAGGGCCAGTCAGAATTTTTACTACCGGTTCTCTGAACTACTCAAAATTTCTGCTACCGGTTCTCCAGAACTGGTCAGAACCTGCTGAAACCCACCTCTGAAGAAGAACTGATGGCAGGTGAACTAAGGCAGTTACAGAATGGAACCCACTTGATAAAAAAAAGTATCCACATAACCTAAAACAAGATGGAGTGATGACTTCAGCAAGTATTGCAGGCCCAATTGGCAAAAGAAAGTTAAAGACCATATTGACTGGAAATATGCAGAAGAGGTGCAGTGGATGGACAATGGCTAGAATGAAGATGAAGTCAATTTATTTATTTCTTTGTTTTTTTATTAAATTTAGAGACTCCATCCATCTCACTCTCAGAGCAGCTCTGTGACAAGTCAGTGAACATTTTGAAAACATTATGTGGGTGCATCTCACAGCCCTCCATAGGTGACACTTTTTTTCCCCACACGCACTAAACCTCTTTCTTGAACTCTTATTCCAAGAATATATATGCTGCAATTGAGTTGCAATTGAAAGAAACTAATTCTTTGCTACCATCTAGTGGTCATTAAGAAAAGATATTGACAGTGATTTGGGGGTAAATGATTGGGCAGAACACCTGCATCCTACAAGCACATGTTCCGTATGGTGATTGGTGGCAACTTTTTCCATGGTTGATTATCATCATCACTTTCATCCAGAGAAATGAACCAAACACTATTCTTACAATGTTGCACGCATGGACAGCAGCACAGCATGACCTTGCTCCACATGGGTGGTAAGGCCACACAGTGTGGACAGCACATTTTATGCTAACATGATTATTTTCCAGCCCTAGGATGGGAGGAACACATGACAGAGGAGCTGTGTGGATGAACCCCTGTACAGATGTTTAAATACAGGGAGGAATAAGTCTAATTATATGACCCAAAAGTCCCAATGTCTCTGTACATGGTATATAGGGAACAAACAGAAACAATGTAGTTGGTGTTACTGATTCTGCCCCAGCTCCGGATTCCCGAGGATATTGACACACACCAACGGTCCTTATCAAATTTATTAAGTAGCAAGAATAAACCAAAGTCCGGCAAAGGTTGGCAACCAGCCCAGAAAACAAGATACGGTAAGACTTTTCCAAAAATGCTCTGATAATTACAAGTTGTTTCCAGCAAGAAACTTACTAACGGCGTGTGATTTAAATAGGCTAAGGAAGTGGCCAATTATCCTCAAGCCTTACTCTCGAGAAGACCTCCTCCTCCTGAGTAGCCACTCCTGCCTTTTGGCAGCCCTGCGTGCTTGAGCATTGAGAAGAGGCTCCTCCACTTCGCTCTCTCCACTTGAAGGAGCTTCTGGAGGTTCTGAAGGCCCTGGCTGAGTCTCTGCCTCTGGCACCACATCCTCTTCAGCCTCTTCGCTGTCCGACACGAGCGCCAGCTGTGCAGGCTGCTGGCATGACACCACACCAGCCTCCTCATTGTCGGGATCAGCCACGATCCGCACAGGCCGTTGGCGGGCCACAACACCTGGTGAGACAAAATTCATCAGTGGAATAAGAGAGTTGAAGAGTATAACTTATTCAAAATGAAGAAGCCAGACAACATGTGAAGAGGAATGGTGTTAAATGTGAAGAAAATGCACATGTATACTGAGATCAAGGAATCTGAGCAAGAGAGCCAGTATTTGGGGGAAAATACACAGAAGGGAGAACAACAATGATACTATTGCTGAGGTATATTATAGACCACCCCATAAGGCAGACATTTTTGATAATGCTTTCCTGGAGTTGAATTCATGGAACCTTCAGGGAACAGAGACATAGTAATCGTAGGAGACTTCAACCACCTGGACAGGTGATGGAAAACTAACTCAGCCAAGATTGTTACTCCTCAAAATTCTTAGTGATCTTGCTCAATGTTTTATCTTCCAGTTTGTTTGTTTGTTTAAAACATTTATATAACTGCCCTTGATATTACTAATAGAGACAAAGTGGTAGAGGTAGTGGAAAGATGTAGGAACTTTGAGAATGACCATATCATATTAGGCTTCACTATAATGCAGGCACAGGTAACTAAACAAAGTCAGACTAGTATTTTAGACTTTAAGAGAGCTGACTTCAACAAATTAAGATAAACAATAGAAAGCAGGAGTGAAATCCAGCAGGTTCTGACAGGTTCTGGAGAACCGGTAGTGGAAATTTTGACCAGTTCGGAAAACCGGTATTGGAAATTTTGAGTAGTTTGGAGAACCGGCAAATACCACCTCTGGCTGGCCCCAGAATGAGGTGGGAATGGAGATTTTGCAATATCCTTCCCTTAGGAGTGGGGAGGGAATGGGGATTTTGCAGTATCCTTCCCCTGTCACGCCCATCAAGCTATGCCCACCAAGCCACACCATGCCCACCAAGCCACACCATGCCCACCAAGCCACGTCCACAGAACTGGTAGTAAAAAAAATTTGGATTTCACCACTGATAGAAAGTATTCCATGAATGGAAATCCTAGAGAAAAAAACACTTCAGATTGCTTGGAAAACTCTGAAAAACAAAATAATAGAGGTCCAAATGAAAACAATACCAGAGAGAAATAAAAAAAAGAGATACCTGACAAAACTACCATGGTTGCACAAAGTCTCTGACAAGCATAGGAATAAGAAGGACTATATAATATAATAATGGAAAGAGGTGCTTGGACCTAGAGTGGAATAGCAGCAAATAATTTGAATCTGCAAGAATGGAGTCAGGAAAGCTAAGGTTCAGAATGAGCTAAGAATTGCAACAAATATAAAAAATAATAAAACTTTTATTTCAATATATAAGGAGCAAAGAAAAAAGTCAAGGAAATGGTTGGTCCATTAATGGGGAAAATGGCAAGAAGGTGATAGGCAACAGAAGGAAGGCAGACCTGCTTAACTCCTTTTTTTTTTTTTTTGCATCAGTCTTTATGTGGAAAAAATAGTCCAATTTATCAAAAACAGCAATGTGGGGAATAGAAGAGAAATATAGATCAAAATAGTTAAGGAATTGGTTAGAGAACCCGTAGAGAACTTATTCTGGACAAGTTCAACTTTCCCAAACCGGAAATTCTCCTAGACCAAATGGTTTTCACCCCAGGATACTGAAGGAGCTGGCAGATATGAATTCAGAATCACTTTGATTGCTCCTGGAGCACAGGAGAGCTGCATAACGATATGTTCCAATCTTTAAAAGCGGGGAGGAGACTGGATCTAGGAAACTATAGACCAATCAACTTGACGTTAATATCTGAGAAAATCCTGGAAAAGGTAATCAAGTACCAGGTTTGTGAGTACCTAAAAATGAGCAAGTAATTACTAGAAGCCAGCATGAATTTGCTATGAACAATCGTCCCAAAAAATTTTATGGTTTTCTTTGATAAAGTAACTACATTAGTTGGCCAAGGAAATGCTGTGGATATAGTATGTTTAGATTTCAGTAAGGCATGTGATAAAGTAGATCATAGCCATTACTTACATTACTTCCATGTAAGCTGTAAGACAGAACAATGTGGGATGGAAAGTAGCACTAATAGATGGATTTGTAGTTGGCTAATCAACTGCACTTAGCATATGGTTCTTAATGGAAATACATCTATGTGGAGAAGAGCATGCAGTGGTTGCCTCAAGGTTCTACATGTGCCCAGTGCTCTTCAACATCTTCATAAACAACCTAGATGAGGTGATTGAAGGAGTGCTCATCAAATTTGCAGATGACACAAAACTGAACAAATTGCCAGTACTTTGGAAGATAAGACTCAAGTTTCAGAAAGATCTTGAACACTTGAGAATTGGGCTCTATTTAACAAGATGTAATTCAGTGACAAGAAAAGGATGGTCCTGACTAAGGCAGAGAGCACAGGTGCACAGGTATAAGATAGGCAATAGCTGGATCAACAGTAGTGCCTATGAGAGGGATCTGTGGTTGTTCTTGAGTCGCTAAGTCATGTTCAACTCTTTGTGACCCCATGGACTATAGCATGCCAGGTTCCCCTGTTCTCAACTGTTTCTCAGAATTTGCCCAAATTTGTGTTCATTGTGATGATGACATTATCTAAATATCTCATCTTCTTCTTATCCCATTCTTCTTTTACCTGTAATCTTTCCCAGCCTCAGGGTCTTTTCCAGTGAGTCCTCTCTTCTCGTTAGGTGGCCAAAGTATTTCAGCTTCAGCTTCAGTATTCAGCTTCCTTGTGGACCATTTGTACTCAAATATGAGTCATCAGTATGCTTCAGTTGCCAAAAAAGCCAGTAGGGTCATGAGCTGTTTCAACAGAGAGACAGTATTAAAATCAATGAAACTGACAGTACTGCTCTATATCGTACTGGTGAGGCCGCATTTGAAACACTGCATCCAGTCCTGGTCATCACAGTACAAAAAAGAAGCCAAGATTCTAGAAAGAGTGCAGAGAACAACTAAGATGATAAGGGCTCTGGAGGTTAAATACTATGAAGAATAGCTACAGGAACTTGGCATGTTAACTTGCCAAAGACTGAGTGGAGACATGATAGCAATCTTCCAATATTTAAAGGGCTGTTGAAAGGAAGAAGCCATTGATTTATTCTTCATAGCACCTGAGGGTGGGACAAGAAGTAACGAGTGGAAACTCCTCAGAAGGAGATCCAGGAAATAAGGGGGAATTTCCTGACAGAACAATTAAGCAGTGGAAGAGCTTGCCAGCTGGAGTTGTAAGTGCTCCATTGCTGGAGGTTTTCAAGAAAAAATTAGACAACCATTTGTCAAAGATGGTGTGGAATGATTGGAAACCATTGTAGATGAGTGGTCCTTGGTGCTCTCTGAGCTTGGTTGTTTTCTTGGATACATTTCATTACCCAAACTAGGTAACATCATCCGTGCTAGTAGCTGATGTTGCCTACTTTGAATAATGTAAAGTCTGCAAGAAAACAAACAAGTTCAGAGAGCACCAAGGACCCCTCATTTCAACCCTGAGCTACAAATATTCTTCTTTATTGGTACCATTGTAGATGCAAAGGCAGATTTTAAATGAGCCAAGAATTAAAAGGGACAGGTAGAAGAAATGAACAATGGGTATAATGACCAAAGAAGCATCTCAGCAAGTAAATAATATCTGTAGAAAGGTAGTCAAAAATGGTAAATACAGAAGGAACATACCTCTCAGGTATTTTGTTTCATGTTGAATATATTCTCTCTTGACTATGTCAATAAGAGAAAGAAGACAGGGAATGGATCCACATCATAGAGAAGACAGATAATAATAGGTGACAGGCAGAGGAAATGCTCTTCAACTTCTATTTTGCTTGCTCTTTTCCTCAAAAAGATCTATGAACACATTAACTTCAGCAGGGATAGAAGGGATACATAAAAGGCTAATTTTATTTATTTTATTATTTATTAAACCAATTTATACAGCTGCCCATCTCACAAATACCTTTGGATAGTGTTCAACAGAGCTATAGTTCATCAGACAATCCTTAATCATTTCATTCTTCTTTATACATATAATATAGGTTGGCACGCTTTTCCTTCCCTCACAACCCTCAGAGTCCTGGTGAAGCCTTCTCATTCTCCTCCTTGGCTGACTTGCAAAACTCTCTGCCACTTTGCTTGGGATGTAGATGAATAAAGGGAGCTGTGGATTCTGAGGAAAACTATATTCCCGCTTTCAATTCCAGCATGTCCCCAATGGCCACTTGTAGAGAAGAAGAGGGCTTACCCATTGGTTACAGGTGCCCTCCAACCAGTTCTACCTTGCCAACTGTCATTCAAATCACGCCTTCATCTTTCTCTCATTGGCCATATTGTTTAAATTTTGTCCTTGGTTCCAAAACAACCAATGGCTGGTCATCCACCAGACTTGTCATCAGCCAATTGGGCATAGGGACAGAGGGAGGTGGGAAAGAGGGCAGGGATACAGCTCTCTCATCTTCACTTGTGACACACAACCTATGGGTTTTATAAGAAGTGTAATCAAAGGCATGGTGGCACTGAAACAGCTACAAAGTTTCCAAATTTCATTTCCACAGGAATCACGAGGCCTCTCATTCTGTAAGCGAAACTATTTGAGTTGCCTAGATTCAATAATTCTTTTTGTGCACTCTCCAATTTCACCAAATTGAAGGTTACAAAGTATCAAACAAATACTAGACTTTTAGTAGTGTACAGATATACCAACTAAATCAACTCAAGATGATTTAGGCACTCCTGATTATTATGAACAAGTATAAAATTTCCAGGCTGGGTCAATTATATTCAAAAGTCCAGAAGAATGTTGTGGATGTTATCTTGGAGACCCTATTATCTCTGATAATTCATAGAAGATGGGAGTAGTGCTAGAGTGCTGAAGAAGAGCAGATGTTGTTCCTATCTTCTTCTTCTTCTTCGTCTTTTTAAAGAGGAACCAGGAAACTGATGTCAATTTCAGATTTAACTCTCCTTTGTTGATAGAGCAATATGATAGACATAATGTATCTTGACTTCAGCAAAGCATTTCACAAACTCTCCCATGAGATCCAAGTCAAAGATAGCAAAGTGTGGGCTGGACAATGCGATCATTAGAGAGATGTAAAGCTGACTGAACAATTGCACCCACTGACTATATACCAATGACTCTGTCAAGTGGGAGGAGGTGATAAATGGCACATTGCAATACTCCGCTCTAGGCCCTGTGCTATCCTATGTATTTATAAATTACTTGGATGAGAGCTTTTAAAATAGGGCTATATGTTTGCTGAAGGGAAAGAGATGGGAAGGGTGGGTAGAAAGTACTTGAGAAAACAACATCAAATTGCAGGAAAACCTTGACAAGCAGGAGCAGTGAGTGGAAACCAGCAAGATAAATGTCATCACCGGTTAATATGCAAAGTACTGCATCTAGTTTAGGCATGGGTTTAAGATATAGGGGCCTACTGCCCAGCAGTACATGTGAAAAGATCTGAGTAACCTGATGGATTGCACACTAAACATAAGTCAACATTATGCTGTAGCTGCATCAACAGTAGTATCGTATGCCTCTCTCCATTCTATGTTTCTCTCATCACATCTAAAATATTACTTCCAGTTCTGGAGACTGTGTTTGGAAAGAACATTGACTAACTTGACCTCACCCATATCCAGAAGTTAACAATCAAGATAAAGGTCTTGAAAGGGGAAAAATTACAGACACGGTTAGAAGTGTTGGGTATGTTTAACCTTCGGAAGAGAAGATTGTGGGGAGGCTGTCATTTGCATGATGTCATGCAGAAGATGGGGCCGAACTGTTCCGAGTTGTTCTAGTAGACAAGAAACAATGGTTTAAATGACAAAGAACTAGATTTTGATTAGATATCAGGAAGAAGAAAAAAACCTTGAAAGAGCTTCTCAGTAATGGAACAGACAATTGGTAGCTAATTTACCAGAACAATTGGGACCAGAATTTTCATTGCTAAACAAGGTGGTTATTAAGTAAGTTGCACCCAATTTTACAACTATTTTTGCCATGATTGTTAAGTGAATCATTGCAGTTTTTAAGTGAAACATTGGTCATTAACTGAATCCTACTTCCCTCATTAACTTTGCTTATTGTAAGCCAGTTGGTGCAAATGGTAATCTCATGACCCTCGGTGACTGCAACCATCATAAATAATGCTGGTTTTGATCACATGCATTGGAGAACCAGAGGGTTGGAAATTTAAAATGTTGAGTCCTGACACTTTGGGATATATATGAGACATCTCCTGCTGCTAATTAAATGCATTCTAATATATGACTACCTGCAATCAGTATGAAACCAATTTATAATAGTGGCAAAACATGTGATAAACTCAATGGACACAAAGTTAAGACAGAGTTATCCTTGCCACAGCCTTTTCCAATATAATCTGTGTCCCCCTCTTCAAACTCAGATGTCTAACATTTGCAGAGAGGTACAAATTTTTGGAGGAGGCATTGTGGCTTCAATTCAGATTGAAAACATAAGGAAATAAGACAATTGTTTCTGTAGAAGAAGCAGTATCAGGATTTACCTTCTAAACAATTTCAGAGATAGAAGAGACGTGGAAAACTTGGTAAATTTGTGGTTCCTGTGAATAACAAAAGCATCATGCCATAAGTTTTGTCTCTTTTAGGCATGTATGTAACATCATGACACATGTAAAAGAGAGGGGGCTTGTGTTACAATTCTGCTTTTATCCTTCTTTTATCCTTTGCTGCCCCAAAATATGTCTCTGCAAAGCCAGGATAGCTAACCAATGTAATGACACAGCATGACTTTGAGCCTATGGAGGCCTTACCCATTCCACAAAATATATAGGCAGATTCCTAAACAGAAACAAACAAACTGAAGTGCAAGTCCCTTACTTTTCTCTATGCTTGGTTTTTTTGAAAAGAAAAGATTATCCATACAAGTTTAGGGATCCTTCCTTCCTTCCTTCCTTCCTTCCTTCCTTCCTTCCTTCCTTCCTTCCCTCCCTCCCTCCCTCCCTCCCTCCCTCCCTCAATTAAAAGTCTTTAGCCCAGACATTTCTGTTTGTATGTATTATTAAAAGATTGAGATACAATGATTGTCTTACCTGTATATGACATGTGCTGCTTCTGCTTTTTTCTGGATTGACATTTTTTTAAAAAAATCTTTAATATTGTCCTTAATTTTATAGCAGCAATTCTCAGATGCCACCATTAAGATTGAGCCCTAGGGCTTTTCACTGTGCCTCCCCATCCCTTGAGCCACATATTTATTTCTATTAAGAAAACCTACAGTGATATTAGCTAAATGGCATTTGTTTAGAGTTAAGTGTTTATGATGGATTTTCCAGGATACATATCTCCCCACCCCCAATCATAACTTCTGTAAGTTATGAGAAACTTGCTTTTCACTGACATTTCCATACATTTGCCCACAAGTTCAAATAACACTTTTACAATTTATAGAAACAATTAACATACCATTAGAACTTATCCAGAGCCTTGACAATTTACTTCCTATGGCTCCATGAACTCTTTTGGCTTCACATTATGTCTTTCCTTCCTGCTTCATTTTCCTTCTATGCCTTTTTTTGCCCACAATCAATTATTGCTTGATCCAAATTCAGTGTTCTTCAACTGTAAAATGGAAGTATTTATTACCTGGTTAGATGGCAATAACTGCAGAAAAAAAATGAAGCAGCAGTCCAAGTTTATTGGTAGGATTTGATGATGGAATTCTTGATCTCTGATGAACATCTATTATTAGGGTTTTTAATGTTTTTTTTAATCCTTGTATGCTGCGGTGTCTTTGACAAGCAAGCAGTTCTAATTTGTCATTATATATAAATAAATACAAACAGCCCAGTGTTTGCAGAAGTTAGTGCAAGACAGGAAAAGATATTACTAAATGGTAATATGAAAGGTAAAAAAATAGCAAAAGCATTTGGAACCAGCATTGCAGGGAGCAGGGGCATCCCTAGGATGGGTCATCAATGTCTAAATAGTGAGTGTAATTGAGCAATTGGGACCACACCTCTTTTTAACATGTGCTACATGCATTGCCTGCATTTAAAAGGGGGAAGGCTTTGATTCTCCAATTGCACCTATTGGTTTGGCATGGCCTTCCCTGAAAACACCTCTGGTGGGAAGTCCCACCAACACTAGCATAAAAACTACTCCTTAACAAGAAGTAAAGATGGTTGAGGATGTCTGCAAATAATTCAGCTGCCCGTGTAGAGGATGAAAAGCTAGAACATTTGTTTCAAAGAGAATCACCCAGTGAATTTGGCTAGAAGGTGAATTGTTGCAGAATCAAGGGAGAGAAGATGGAGGTTTAGGGGCCTAGCCAGAAAGCGGGAGAAGGGAAATGAACAATATGCAATTCTGTCCAAAAACAAATTGCCATGGATGGAGGGTGGGTTTGGGCTTGAGTTAGGACAGAGTGGGTTTTAGAGCTGGTCTGAACCCATTAGAGCTCTCTACTGGTGGAAGGCTTGGCAGCAGGCAGAGTAAATTCAGTAAGAGCTTGCTAAGTCTTTGCTCGGGTGAATGCTTAGGGTTATCAGGGCAGCGTCCACGACTCAAGAGGCTACAATAATACAGTAATTCGAATGTATTTAAAATGCTGCAGTTACCCAGGCAGGAACTAACAGCAACAGTTAGCAGAGAGGATGGGCAGTTCTCATTCCAAAACCAGACCTGCAGTCCGAACAAAGTGGATCCAGATAAGCAGCATCCCTCAGAAAAGCCACCCAGATGTTATCTACCTCCTTCCAAAGGAGGCCTCCAGATGTGAGGTACCACCACCCACACAATAAGCAGCCTTTGTAGGGAAGGCTAGAAAGAAGGAACGGCCTTCTTGTGGCAATCGCCCTCGAAGTATGTATCCATCCAGCGCCAAACCTTTGGTGTGGGGAGGGTTGTTTGCAACTGTCCATCCTGTTTGCGGGTCAAGGAGAGGAGAGTGAAGACGTCCCCGCTCCCAAAAGGTTAATTTGCTGTATTCCTTCCCGACGGCAACGATCGTCTCATTCCAAGACTTCCTGGTCTTCTTGACGGAAATCCCCGCTCTTCGGCCAGCCCGGGTCAGACTCCGTAGCAGCGATGCTCATCGTCTTCTTCCTTTCTTGCCTCGGCCGGAGTTAGCGGCTTCGAAGGGCTCCGCAGCGTCCATCACACGTCAGAAAGAGGCGGACAGAAGAAGGAGAGAAGGGGGGGGGACTACAGTTCCCAGAGCCCCAGGCTGGGCAGCCGCAGTGCGAGCCGTTACTCCCCCTCCCCGCCCGGTGTTAAAGTAGCGCAGAGAATCCGGGCTGGCGCCGATGAGAAAGAGGGGAAGAGCCGGGATCGGAGCGCAGCACAGCACAGCACGAGCGGCCCGGTATAGGCCAGGCGCGAACGCGAAAGGCTTCGGGGCCGATCGGGCGTGCTCGCTCCGCCGCGGCTGCGCTTATTGAGAGAGAGAGGAGAGAGAAAGAAAGTGACGCCGCTGCGCACCGAGAGGATGCAGGAGGCTGCGCTGTTGCTGGCCGGCGGCTGCCCTCCTCCTTTCCCGCCGTTGCTGCAGTGCTAGAGTCCTCCTTCGCTTTCTACCCTGCAGAAGAAGGGGCCATGTAACCGCCTTCCTCCGCCTCTCCCAGCCCGGGATAGCTACCGATCCTCCCACCTCCTTCGTTCCGCTGCGCTCTCCGGCCAAGGGCGCAACCATGAAGAAGCAATTCAACCGCATGCGGCAGCTGGCCAACCAGACGGTGGGCAGGTAAGGAGCCAGGAGCGGGGTGGCAGGGAGAGAAATGCCCCTGTCTTCGGGTTGGAGCGCCCCTGGTGCACTGCGCCTGCGGGGGGGGGGCCGCCCGTGCAGGACAAGGATTCTGCGGGGCGTGATGGTCAGTGGACTTTGCTAAGAACCTCCGTTACAAATTTTCCTTCGATTTTGCTAGTTAGTCCCTTTGGGGTATCTTTTCCTTTGCATCCTTGCAAAGCACAGCCTTGCCCCCAATTCTCGGTCATGGCTGCTGCTGTTCTAACCAGCCTAGCGTGTTCCAACTGGGTCACCCAGGTGTCTACTGGCCTCAAGTGGATAGCCAGGTCCAGCTGTTCAAAAGGAGTCTTACTTGCCTAGTCTTTCTGCCCCAGTTTTTGGCCTCTTGCATTGGCTTGCTTGTCAACAACTGCCGACAAGTCCACACCAATTAACCAAGCTCTTAATCAAAGGAAGATTTAGCCTTTAGCTGATTTAGGCTCCGAGTTAGGCGATTTCTGAACCCAGGGCTCTTGGTTTACAACATCTAAAGATGCCGATCCTGAGTTGCCCTTTGTGGGGGGAGAAAAGGAATTTTGACTTGTAGTAACATAGTTCCTCCTCCTCCTCCCCCAGTGGTTCTTGAAATGGTTGGGTCAAGTCACCAGGTATTTCATTGAATGAGACTGTTTACATCACTGTGAAAAGGGTGGGGAAAGGTGAAATGCTAATTCTGTTTGGGTTTGGGTTTTTTGTTTTTTTAAATATGCAGAGATAAAGTCTGCAGGATTTGGGGAGGAGAGTTGTTTTAGTGTTGATTTGTTTCCTGGGCAGCTGCCAGGTTGACTTTTAGAAATAGCCATAGCAGAGCCCCTTTCCAGCAATTGGTACCTTGCTTTTGGGGCACTGGCACTGCAAGATTCTTTTTTAGCTGCTGGTGTGGCTGCCAGAATTAGACTCTGGTGGGAAAAAAGCCAGGCAGGCTCTGATGTGCTGGCTTGGTTTGAGTCCAAAGTCTGGACTTGGCTTAGTGTGATTTCTCCTGCCAAACCTTTGAGAATTAGCCTATAATCTGTACAGAAACAGAACCTCTCTGCCCTCCCACCCAAGAGGAATGAAGAAGATGAAGAGTCCGTTAAGGATAGGGTGGAGCTGAGCAGTGATTAGAGGATGTTGTTACTCAGAAAAAAAAATACATCAGACAGTCTCTCTGGGCTTTGCTTCCTATAAATTTTGCAGACAGGTCTTAATGACAGAAATCACAGAAAAATCATAAAGCTTTGCTTTCATTTAGTTGTCCAGATGGACAAGCCATCATTTATTCATGTTAGTCTATCAGACCGATAGGCTTCCATTTTTACATTCCTGATTCCTCCTGGTAGCAGCTGGAGACCATCTTTATATTCCTTGTCTGAGCAGATGACAATGAATGATGCTGTTTCTTGCAAGCTTGAGCAAAGGGCTACTGGAGCAGTTCTGTCTGCCCACAGCTTGCAGGATTAAGGATGCTTTTATCCCTTCTTCGTTTGATAAATGTAGATGGCCATTTTGCTCTGTTTCCTTTTTTTTTTTTTAACAGCTGGTTCAAACTCAGGATTCTAAGCACATATCAAGTCTTGGTTTTAATTGCAATCCCAGGAATGGCCCTGCTGTGTAGCTAGCTTTTGATCCATGTGCCTAACGCTATTCCTCTGTGTGCACCCCAACGAACATTTCGTTTCAGACCAGAGGGAAATTATGTTGTCCCTGCAACAAAAGAGTGGGCTGTGCATATTTTCCCTTCTTAACAGTCCATTTGCTTAAGATTGCCTTTCTGGAAGGGTCATTTGGCTCTGAAAGCAAATAGCTATTGAAGCAAGGGCATAAGTGTGTTTTGATGGGGGTGAGGAGTGGAGGGAAGTAGAGCTGCTGCTGTTGGTAGGTCTGGTATATAGGAATAATAGCAACTAATTTGCTGAACAAATGACCTAGATTAGATACTATGGTAGGAGATGACTTGATTAGGGACAGGATTGATGGGAGCAGCAGGGCAACTGTACAATACCCAGAGATAAGTGGAACCAAGTAATGTTACTATTTAATCCATGTTGCTCGCCTTACAAATCAAGATACATCTAGAGCAATTCTGGAACTTCAGGAATTCTGTCATAAAACAGAATTTTTCTAATTTATAGATTACAGCAATTGCATATTAATGTTCTAACTTTCACATTAATTGCAAACACATGTAAAGACGTGTATGTCAGGTGATAAACCCAGATATGTGATGGTTTTCTACAGTACCTGGCCTTTGCCTGACTTTTCAAAATGAGCAGCTGTTTTAGGTATATTTAGATAAGCAGCAATCAGTTGTAGTGATGCAAGTATCTGCAGAACCTGTGTGTATTTTTGTTCTCCCCTGTGTGTTAGCCAGCTTTTTAAAAGCTCGAGTGGGTGGGGAGACAGAAAAAATCTTATTTGAAAAGAATGGATGTAACCTAACATCCTGGTTTTTTTTTTTTTTTTTTTAATTTGATTTATATGCCGCCCTTCTCCGAAGACTCAGGGCGGCTTACAATGTGCTCAGCAATATGGTTTAATTATTTCTGGGTTTCAGAATTGTGCAGATCTTTTAAAATCATAACATAGATTTAGAATCAATGGAATTTGAAATTAGTTTTCTTAATTGAGCACTTGAAAAAATAAATGCCTATGGTTTCCAGAATTATGCTTTCCTGAAACTTTTTTGTTACAGAATTACTGAAATTGCCAGGGAACCTTGCTTTGATTCTTGGCTTCTAGAAACCTCACTTTGGTTATTATGAGAACACAGATCTTTGCAGATCCAGCTAGTCTTTTCATATCGTAACTGCTCATTAATACAATCACAAATGAAGGAATGGAAATTATTGCACATAAATATCTGTTGCTTTTCTTTGAATAAATTATTAGAATACTACTATTTCTTAGATATGATTCCTTGTCTTCCGTTAGGGACTGTACTGCCCCCTAGTTACCTTACCTGAAATCCATGAGTTTTAAATTTGTTTTTCCATGGAGTAGGATGTATGGTAGATAACCTTGTGCCCTGCAGTCTGTTTGTGATGCATATATATCATAAAGCAAGTGATGTGCCATAAAACCACTTAGTTAATGCTCAGGAAAGAATGGGAAATGTTAGGGAGGGGCAAGATAGTTGAAGAGGGTGCAATGGTAGTGCTGATGACAAACATAGATCAAATTCTGGGTAATTCTGGTTATAAGTGGCTTAAGTTTTTATATGTTCTTCATGATATATAAATAAGATGTTTGGCCATGATGTGTTGCCCTGCATTATTTCTATCATATTTTGAAACCTGGTCTTGGAAAGTCTGCAAGATAGGAGTTTAGTATACTGACAACAAGGTCCTTACCTTTGATATATCTCTAAATGAGTCACATCTCTGCGGTTGGGATTTCCCAGAAATCTTTGGTTAACACATTAGAAAATCACATTTATGTTGGCTACAGCTTATTAGATGTGCTATAATAGCTTGCTAATACAGATACAAATGCTTGCCTTCAGAAGTTGTGGGTGCTTCATCAATGGAGGCTTTTAAGAAAAACAGCCATTTGTCTGGAATGGTATAGGTCTCCAGTTTGAGTATAGGGTTAGACTAGAAGATCTCCAAGGTCCCTTCCAATTCTGTTATTCTATTATATTCTGAAACATCTATGTTTGATAAGCATTCAGAATTAAATTGCTAGTGGCTTAAGTTATCCAGGGGAATCCAGGTAAGATTTGTTCTATTTACCTTAATACAGGCACTGATAGCAATAGCAATAGCACTTAGACATATACCACTTCACAGTGCTTTACAGCCATCTCTAAGCGGTTTACAGAGTGAGCATCTTGCCCCCAACAATCTGGGTCTTCATTTTATCCACCTTGGAAGGATGGAAGGCTGAGTCAACCTTGAACTGGTTTGGATCGAACTCCTGGAGTCAGCAGTGAGTTAGCCTGCAGTACTGCATTCTAACCACTGCACCACCACAGCTCTTTTATTCAGCAAACTTCATGTACAGAGACTGCACATATGTTGGATGATCAGATACTGGGGAGAAACAGCAAGAAGGGATGGATAATGATATCATATTTGGCTCCTGCAGATGTAACATTTGATAATTGATTTCTTTTTTCCTCTGCTTGTTTCTTAAATGAATTCCTGTGTATTACGGTATTTTAGATGGTTGGTTGGTGGTTAAGGCAGACTACGAGACCATTGATTGTTTGTGATTTGGTACCTAAAGAGCCTTGATCTCCATGACCTGAGTTAGAAGAGATAAGAACTATGTCCCTGTTGACTTTTCTTGGTCTTTCTGTGGTTTTGTGAGTGGCTCTGTGGGCTGTAATCCTGCTCCTGCATCTAGGGACCCACTTAGAATAACTTTTATGAAATGGATATGATTAACCATAGCATCTTCCATTCAGATGCTGTTGTTATTCCATCCTAAATACTTTGGGACTCAAACATCTAAAAAAAAGGCCCCCTGCCATATCAGCTTG